CTGCACCAATATAATGGTGCGAGTCGATGGTGGGCCCCCGGAGTGTACGTATGTACATCTAAAACACTGGAAGCATGCCTTCCGTCTATCACAACATGCTCGATTTGGTTTCTCGTTTTTCGGTGAGGAGACACCCATATAGCTTGATGGATCCTTTTATGCTAGTACCCAGTACTACATACTTCCAAGCTTCGGGCCCGGCGAAGTCGATCAGCCTCAACCCGCTATTTCTATGTGGATGCTGAATTTTCCGACACTGGCGCCAAAGATCCCTTCGTTGCTCACCTTGGCATTTAAATCGCCAAGCAAGATTTTTATACGTGTCGGGGGCAGAGCTAATAATGTACGCCCTAAGTTAAGAGATCCTTGGATACCTCGTTCTTCTCTTTCATCGGGGCATTGGCACATATGAGGACGTTCGTCCACTAGAGTGAACGCCGGTCTCTCTCCCACCACAAATCCAACACCAACTTGCGCTCCTTTACGTGGTAACTGTAGTAGACGTTGCAAGGCACCACGCCTACCTTCCTCGCCCCGTCCATCGCATTTCATGGATGGCGGTGATGTCAGCCTTTATTTTCCCTAGGAATCAACCAGCCGGGCAGAGGCACCTTCTCGATTAAGGGTTCGGATATTCCAGGTGCATACCCTCAAATCATAATCCTTCCTATGTTTGCCGTGATCGTCATCAAAAGAAGGGGTATCATCATGGGCGTCGCTACCTAGGGGCCCCCCCCCCTAATCTTTGAAGTTTACCTTCTATGTAGTATAAAATACTAAGAAGTAGCAGCTGAAAGCAAAATTCTTTGCCCGGTAGTAAAAAACATATAAATCACAATTTTAAAGTTTATACTAAATTTAGGAAAATTCAACAAAATTTCAACTTTTTAATCTGAATCTTTACAGCATTTTTGGGTATGCAGTTTTCTAGCCCACACAAATTGCAAGTTTCAACCAGCTAAAAAATCGCGCTGAGTTTTAATAATTGTTTTTTGGATACTACTTTTGAGGTTTCTTTATATAACAAGAGTAATTTACAAAAAAAAAAGCTTAATTTTTTGAAATTTTGTTGCTAACGGTCTCTGGCATTTTGTTTCATAAGAAACTAATGCTTATATGGAAAAAGTACAAAGATCCGTCACAAAAAAAATTCTTAGAAATCAACGGGATTTTTTAGCCGTTAGAAACTTGCACTTCATTAGACCAAAATTGCATACCCAAAAGTGTTCTAAAGAATCAGATTAAAAAGTTTAAATTTTGATGAAAATTTGTGGAATTTTCATCAATTTTGTATAGTTTGTAACTGTGATTTATGTGGTTAAGCTTGAACGGTATTTTTATAGAAAAATAACCAAAAAATTCGCTCTGAAAACATTACGAATATTTAAAAAAACTAACACTTGTTCATTTGTTTGAATCACGTACTTAGTTTTCCTCTCTGACGTCAGAACTTTTTTTTAAAGGACTTTGGAATTAAAAAACATGATTATTTCAAAAAATTATTCAAAAAATTCAGTGCAATGTAATATAAAGATAAGGGTATCAAAAATAAGAAAAAATTCCGTAGTATTATAACAGAATAAATTTTTTGGTTCATAAGGACGAATGGGTATAGAAAATGTCCTTTAAAAATTTAGTCCTTAAAAATACTTGAAAATTTGCAATATTTATTTTTGAAAAAGTTATTGTTTGAGGACTAATATACCTGCGACCACATCATCGAATTTCGTCCTGCAAACTTTATTAACTTGAAAAGATAAAATTTATTAAAAGCGCATATTCAATACCTATTCGTCCTTGTGAACCAAAAACTCTAAATTACCGTTATATGGAATGTGGGCGTGGTTAATGTCCGATGTTGTAGCAAGGCCAACAACTGTGCCAAGTTTGGAAGAAATTGGTCCAGCGGTTACCAAGATATACACATGTAACCATAAGAGGCGTAGCTACGCCCCTTTTTCAAAAATTTATAATATTCTTATTTTTCGTCTAAAAATTATTGTAAATATCAATTTTGAGTGTATAATCTTCAGTAGTTACTAAAATATCGCAGTTTTCGTATTACTGAAAATTACCGTTATATGGGAGGTAGGCGTGGTTATTGTCCGATTTTGCCCATTTTCAATAGCATCCGTCTTACGCCCAAAAGAAGTGCACATACCAAGGGTAGACAGACAGTCACCGGTTAATCGATTTCTCATTTCATTCTGATCATTTATGTACACATTTTTCTATATCTATCTCGATTCCTTTTGCCTGTTACAAACACCGTTATGTGAACAAAGTTATAATACCCTTGTGCACAAGTGCGCTCGGGTATAAAAATGTAAGTTTAGTACTCCACTCTACTTACTAAACTAAATTTATATTTGGCTATTGGTTAAGATTGTCTTTTCAAATGGAACCATTTAGTTTACACATATTCGATCCTGGCGACGCGCATGTGTATCGTCCGAGGCATGTGGTTTTTTGCGTTGGGCAGTGTTTTAACGTGGCGGGACTAGAGGTTTACGCCGACAGGCTTTGCGGCGGCGGCGTGGTTAACTTCAAAAAGAATCGGCGGCGGCGGCGACGCCGGCGCTACTGCCCATAAGGTAGATTCCAAAGAGCCATGAGGCTTCTAATCTTATCATGTCATCAGATTATAATTCTATTTAATTCATTCATTGAATTCAAATGTGGAGTGACTGCTGCTGATGGATGGGCGAACAGAAGAAAGTCTATATAGTATATATATTAGGTTTCCCATCGAAAATGCTTTTTTTTGAAAATTTAAAGACCCTACCCCCTAATTTGATTAGTGTTTATGATAAATATTATTGCCAATTTTTATAGATTTCTTAAAGGCCATTTAGAGGTCGCGGCCTGTCGAATTTTTTAAATTTTGGCCATCGATAATTTCCACAATTTGAAAATATGTAGTACTAACGTACAAAAAACCATTTTCGATGGGCACCCTAATATACATATATCTCTATGTACTCTACAAATAAAAAAATTTAATGGTTAAGTTATTGGGGTAATTTATGTCGCTATCAATAAATTTTTGCAATAAGCTTATCAACCGTTATGTTAAATTACGGAGTTCTTACGATTTTTTGCGGGTTATATATTGAAAATAAGGTTGGCCTACTTTTTTCCAAAAGTTTAACCCATCAACTCCCACCAGAACGGGCGTTTTTGACCAACTGTTTGAAAAATGGCTTATAAATAGTTAAAATTTCCACTAATATATTAAGCGCCTAGGAGAACAGAATGTAATGCAAAATAATAGTAATTTTTACCAAAAAGGGGGACTTTAACTCTGTGTAGAAAATGTTGCGATGCGCGGGAGCAAAACCTTCCTGGGGTTTGACCACTCCTTAGGAATACTAACGTAATTTTCACACTTATATACTTACGAATGTAAAAATTAGCAAAAAAAGTCAAAATCAACTAGTCTTTGTTTTATCTCCAATAATTGAGGAGTAAGATGCAATAAGGACACTTCTGTTAAAACTGCTTTCTGAGATATTAGCGTAAAAGTTTTTGATGTGTATAACTTTCTTGTTGATGTAGTATACAAAAAAGTAGTATTGTTGTAGTATTGAAAAAAATTTTCTACTGCGGAAAAATCGTCAGATTACCAGTATTTGACCCTAATTTAACTGTTATAAACGCTCTCGATCGAAAAACGTGTTACCTACGTTTTTTCTGAGTTAAGCTTTTTTTTGAAATGTTCAGTGGCCCAAATTATGCAAAAAAAAACTTCTTTTAAAAATGTAATTTTCATATCGTAAAATAGTGTTTTTATACGAGTAGTTCCTTCAAACGATGTTTTTCAATGTGCTTACAACAAGAAAACTTTGTACAAAATTCTTTTTTCGTAACTCGGCGGCGGCGCATGAGAAATGACAAAAAACGGCGGCGGCGGCGGCGTGGCCCGGCGGCGTATACCTCTTGGCGGGACCCAAACCCAGCGCCCAAACGGGTGTTTGGTCGGTACCCAGAGGATTCATGGATATAAATATCCGGACATAGTGAGCTGCGAATTGAACCGTAAGCACACGAATCACTTCTGGCCACTCCCAGGTGAATGGCAGTCAAAAGCTTTGCAGTACTAGGGAATGTACAAAACATAGTGGTCAAAGGCGAATATCTCAACTAAACCCTGATGTATTTTTTTAATTCATGGCTCTACATACCTGTATAGTAAACCAAATAACCGGACCAGACGTTATTCAAAATAAAAAATCTAAAAAAATAAACTTTTCCGTATACTCTGTAATATTCCTCCGCAATTTTGTAAGGTAAACTAACAATTTATAATCGTTGCTTTACAGCGAAATATCTTCTCTTAAATTATATAGATATGTATGTAACAGCGGCACGGTGGCAGCACGCATATAGAAAGCTAGTGGCAGCACAAATATAGAAACACTCAGCACGAGTACAAAAACGCTCACAAAGAAAGACAGCCATTAAAAGTGTGAGTGAAAAGCAGTCGGGAATCAGCAGCAGAACACATCAGCCGTCTTCAGCAGTGATCTTCATTTAATTCTTTACATATCTACTTCATTGTACAATTTAATCATCACACTTACTTACAAATAAATCATTTACAACATCACATCTTTACATTTGGGGGCTCAACCAGCCGAACCTGTGAACATATCAAATAGCATTTCTTGTATTTAAATTGGAGAAAATTTCTAAGCAGTATATTCAAAAGGTGTTGAAAAGAAGCGGTACTTCTACCGTTGCAAACTCAGTCGCAAAAAATTGTCTTTGATAGCAAAAAAATCACTTTGCGCATATGAACGTTGCTAAAGTTTTAAACGCAGGCGCATCCAAAACTACCACCAAAACAAAGCAACAGACGGAGCAGGGAGCGCAAGCAAGACAACCCTACAACACACGTTCAGCAAAGCAGACAACAGAAACGAACGTTCAACAAAAAGATAACGAAGCAGTTCCGAAGAAAGTCATGGATGATGAGGCGAAGCAGAATGCAGAATAAGCAGCAGCGGCAGTACAACCGGAGCAAAGCAAAACGATTGAGAGTAAAAACTACGAATTGTTACAGCAGTTGGTCCAATTACTTGTGCTGAAAATACAAGCAGACGAAACCAGGCAGACAGACTCTAAAATTGCGGCAGAGAGTTTTGAGAAAATTATACCCGACTTTGATAGAGAAAACATGCCAGTAAAGCATTGGTTCGCTAATTTCGAACTAAATACTGATGCGTACGGGTTAAACGAAAAGCAAAAGTACGTGCAAGCCAGGGCAAAGATGACAAAAACTGCAAAGCTATTTCTCGAATCAGCGGCTGTTTACTAATATGGTGCCATGCGGGTAATGTTGGAAGACGAATTTGATAAATCTAAGGTGTGCAGTGCGGATGTTCATGCAGAGCTGCGAGAGCGAAAGAAGCGTAGGCACGAAAGTTTCCACGAGTACGTGCTACAGATGAAGAGGGTGGCTGCACGTAGTAACATAGACACGCAGTCTGTAATTCGTTATATCGTTGGTGGATTGCAATTAAAAGACGAATTCAAATACAATCTTTGTAGCTGCAAGTCATATAAGGAGCTGCAAGATCAGTACGAGGTCTACGAGAGAATTGTTTTGCGAGAAAAAGTTAACAAAGTAGACAAGGGGTCGATGGAATTAAACGAGAAGCGTAGTCACAATTCGAACGAGAAAAAAATGCATTGCTTTAACTGTGGGGCTACCGATCATTTGCGGAAAAATTGCCAAGCAGATATGAAGTGGTTCCGTTGTNTGGGGCTACCGATCATTTGCGGAAAAATTGCCAAGCAGATACGAAGTGTTTCCATTGCAATAAGAGCGGTCATATGTCGAAACACTGTCCAACTGTAGCAGCGTCAGTAAATTTCGTGCAAAACGCGAAACGCTGCAAAAGCGTAAAGATAAACAACGTTAAAGTAACCTGCTTGGTGGACACAGGCGCAGATATAACGATTCTGAAAAAGAATATTTTCGACAGAATGGGTAACTGTAGTCTGCAAAAATGTGTTGCACAGCTGCGTGGTTTCGGCAATAAGATTACACGTCCGATTGGTTATTTCGTTGCCCAGGTTGTGGTTGACGATATACAGACGCTACAAAATTTCGTTGTAGTTTCGGACAGAGATATTGTATATGATGCGCTACTGGGTTATGATTTTATTTCGAAGTTCAACTTAACGACAACAGCGGAGGGGTACACGTTTTCTCCTCTAAGCGAGGAGGAAACTGATGAGGACTTTAAGCGGATAAGTATTTACAATGTAGCTGAAACAAATTCTTATGTAGATGTTCCCCCGCAGTATGAAGCTGAAGTTCGCGCCATGATCAGTAACTATAAGCCTGCCAATTCAGTTACAGAGTGTCCAGTTGTACTGACACCGCTTTCACGACGACCAGAGGACTTTATGAATTTAATCGGGCTCCGTTTGGGTTCTGCAACTCGCCCGCCGTTTTTATACGCTTCGTCAACTACGTTTTTCAAAATCTCATAAATAATAACGTCCTAGACTTGTATATGGACGACATTATTACTCATGCGGAAACAGCTGAAGAGTCTCTTCGGAAAACTAATGGAAGTTGAAGCAATTCAAAAGTTGAAAAATTGTCTGACTAAAGAGCCGGTGTTGAGGCTGTACAGCAGAAATGCAAAGACGGAGGTACACACAGACGCATCGAAAGACGGTTTCGGGGCAACACTGCTGCAGTGGTTCAGTGGCCAGCTTTACCCAGTGTACTTCTGGAGTAAGGAGTCGACGGAAGCAGAGGCGCGACAGCATAGCTACGCACTGGAAGCAAAGGCGGTATACCTTGCCTTTAAGAAGTTAGGCCACTACCTGTTAGGCATATCGTTTAAGCTGGTGACGGATTGCGCGGCATTTAAGCAAACGTTGAGTAAAAAAGATGTACCACGTGAAGTGGCTTCGTGGGTCGTTTATTTGCAAGACTTCGACTTTGTGGTAGAACATAGATCGGGGGAAAGGCTAAAGCACGTCGATTGCCTTAGTCGCTATCCTCAGCAGGTTATGTTAGTAGCATCAGAGTTAGCGACGCGTATAAAAAAAGCACAACAAGGCGATACATTAATCAAAGCAATCGCGGAGATACTTGCCAGTCGGTCATATGACACTTTTAAGATGAAAGGCGGTTTGGTCTACAAGACAGTAGAAGGTAACGATCTTCTGGTGATTCCTAAGCTGATGGAAAAAGAACTTATTGTTGACGCTCACAATTCTGGGCATTTTGCAGTGCAAAAGACGATGCATGCTATACAGCAAAATTACCGGATACCGTATCTGGAGCAAAAAGTTGCCCAGGTTATCAATAACTGCGTAAAATGTATAATTTACAACAAGAAACTTGGCAAAAAAGAAGGATATCTGCATGCCATCGAAAAAGGAGACCAACCATTGCACACGTTGCATATTGACCATCTGGGGCCAATGGACGCTACCTCGAAGCAGTATAGGTATATCTTGGCAATAGTCGACGCATTTACGAAATTTGTGTGGCTTTACCCCACAAAAAGTACCGGTAGCGAAGAAGCGACTCAAAAGTTGGAGTTGTGGTCGGCAGTGTTCGGTAGTCCAGCACGCATCATTACCGATAGAGGTGCCGCGTTTACCGCAAACATGTTTTCAGAGCACGCAAAAGACAGAGGCATTCAACACATCTGGGGAACTGCTGGAGTCCACGCGGAAACGGTCAAATCGAGAGAGTCAATCGATCGGTTCTGTCGATTGTTGCAAAGCTGTCGTCGGAGGAACCAGCGAAATGGTTCAAGTGGGTACCAAAAGTGCAGCAAGCTATTAATTCGCATATTCATGTTTCTACGAAGCGATCGCCGTTTGAACTGATGTTCGGTGTTAAAATGAACAACGAATGCAGCGACCATATACGACAGTTACTGGAGCAGGAGCTTTATGACACTTTTGACGAAGAACGACGCAAGGTACGGCAAGAGGCAAGAGTTGAAATTGAGAGAGCGCAGCGCGAATATAAGAAACAGTTTGATATAAAACGAAAGAAAGAGTATGGGTACAAGGTCGGCGACCTCGTAGCAATACGACGCACGCAGTTTGTAGCTGGAAGAAAGTTAGCCAGCAAATTCCTGGGCCCATACGAAATAACAGAGGTTAAGCGAAATGGTCGGGTCAACGTTAGGAAGGCTGCAGACGTAGAAGGGCCTAGTAACACGTCCACGAGTTGCGACAACATGAAGCTGTGGAAGTATACGGTCAACAACGACAAGCTTTTGTCATCTGAGGCAGATGACTAATCAGGGTGGCCGAATGTAACAGCGGCACGGTGGCAGCACGCATATAGATAGCTAGTGGCAGCACAAATATAGAAACACTCAGCACGAATACAAAAACGCTCACAAAGAAAGACAGACATCAAAAGTGTGAGTGAAAAGCAGTCGGGAATCAGCAGCAGAACACATCAACTGTCTTCAGCAGTGATCTTTATTTAATTCTTTACATATCTAATTCATTGTACAATTTAATCATCACACTTACTTACAAATAAATCATTTACAACATCACATCTTTACATGTATGTATAAATATGAGCGTTGCGTTTATTTAATCGCGACAGCTCGGAGGAACTCAAAACAATTTTTAACAGCGGTTGATATTGAGTTAAGCGTATATTTGTTCGCTTTAAAACTTTTGCTTTATTTGTCCTCTTGAGAAAAACTGTGTCTATTTAACAATTTGACTTTCATTTATACCCAAGTGCAATTATGTACAAAAATAACCCGCGTTTACTGTGCAAAACACCGACATCTAAAACTGCGATTTTTGTTGCAGGTCTATGAAGTAGAGTTGTCAAACTATCGATGGCACTATCGATAGTATCAATAGTTTCAATTGTTTAGACTAGCAATACTCATTGATAGTTTTTTCTTATACTATCAAAAATATCGATAGTTTAGTAGGACTATCGATCATCTCTCCCAATTTTTTTGAAATTATACATACATATGTTAATCGTAAATCCTGTTTTGTTTGTATAACTTGTGTTTGTTTTTGAACTTTCTAAAAAGAGAAGTATTTTGGCTAAGCAGTTACTTAATTTTGAATGATTATAACTTTTATAAGATAATATTTATTTCACTATGATCCTGTAAAAACTAAGCAACCTAACTGATTTGGTTTTGTTTTTTTCGAGACTATCGTGAATATTGATAGTTTTTCTGAAAACTATCAAAACTATCGATGGTGTGACTATCGATAGTTTGACACCTCTACTATGACGAACACCACACTTTGTTTTAACTTGGGGGCTCCGGATTTATCTGTACCGGCGGTGGTTTTTCAAACTATTTGCAGCGTCGTGAAATGATAGGAACATATTCTCGTATCCATCTCTGACAAAAGATGTCAGCGAACTTCTGCGTCTGAGTCCAGCGTTCACGTAGGTTGCTACCGTCTTGACAAAGAGGTTTGAATCCACCTGATGACCCAATCAGTAGGTGGTTTGGTGTGAGGGCTTCGTCATCGCCATTTTCAAGTGATACAAATGTTAGTGGTCTGGAATTAATAATGAACTCCACCTCGCACAACGCAATCCTCAAACTTTCTTCGTTGAAACTCATCGACGGAAGGATTTGATAAAGCACGCCTTTAACTGATTTTATCAGTCTTTCCCAAACTCCCCCCATATGTGGAGCCCCTGTGGGATTGAATCGCCACTTTACCCGGTCAAAGGTTACGATCAAGTCCTGGAATTTGATCTCTTTTAGCTTACCACAAATAATCTTTTCAGTCGCTCGAAAATTAGTGCCGTTGTCGGAAAATATCTGCCTGGGATAACCGCGACGAGATATGAAGTTTTGTATGGCTAGGACGCACGAACTTGTATCCAAACTGCCAGCTATTTCTATATGTAATGCACGGATAGCTAGACACGTGAATAGAACGCCCCATCTCTTTTCGCGTCGTCTTCCCACCACAACCGATAGTGGTCCGAAATAGTCAATTCCGACATACGTGAATGGTCTCTCGAAAGCAGCAAGCCTGGCTGCAGGTAGTGGAGCCATTTGTGGGACTTGCGGCATGGAACTATAATATAAAGTTATAATACCCTTGTGCACAAGTGCGCTCGTGCATAAAAATGTAAGTTTAGTACTCGACTCTACTTACTAAACTAAATTTATATTTGGCTAGTGGTTAAGATTGTATTTTCAAATGGAACCATTTAGTTTACACATATTCGATCCTGGCGACGCGCATGTGTATCGTCCGCGGCATGTGTTTTTTTGCGTGCAGTGGGCAGTGTTTTAACGTGGCGGGACTAGAGGTTTACGCCGACAGGCTTTGCGGCGGCGGCGTGGTCAACTTCAAAAAGAATCGGCGGCGGCGGCGACGCCGGCGCGTCTAGAAACGCCAGCGCTACTGCCCATAAGGTAGATTCCAAAGAGCCATGAGCCTCCTTATTTTATCATGTCATCAGATTATAATTCTATTTAATTCATTCATTTAATTCAAATGTTGAGTGACTGCTGCTGATGGATGGGCGAACAGAAGAAAGTCTATATAGTATATATATTAGGTTTCCCATCGAAAATGCTTTTTTTTGAAAATTTAAAGACCCTACCCCCTAATTTGATTAGTGTTTATGATAAATATTATTGCCAATTTTTATAGATTTTTTAAAGGCCATTTCGAGGTCGCGGCCTGTCGAATTTTTTAAATTTTGGCCATCGATAATTTCCACAATTTGAAAATATGTAGTACTAACGTACAAAAAACCATTTTCGATGGGCACCCTAATATACATATATCTCTATGTACTCTACAAATCCGTATGTACTATTTCAATTTAAAGAAATAAAAAAATTTAAAGGTTAAGTTATTGGGGTAATTTATGTCGCTATCAATAAATTTTTGCATTAAGCTTATCAACCGTTATGTTAAATTACGGAGTTCTTACGATTTTTTGCGGGTTATATATTGAAAATAAGGTTGGCCTACTTTTTTCCAAAAGTTTAACCCATCAACTCCCACCAGAACGGGCGTTTTGACCCACTGTCCACTAATATATTAAGCGCCAAACTTTTCTAAGGACAACAGAATGTAATGCAAAATAATAGTAATTTTTACCAAAAAGGGGGACTTTAGCTCTGTGTAGAAAATGTTGCGATGCGCGGGAGCAAAACCTTCCTGGGGTTTGACCACTCCTTAGGAATACTAACGTAATTTTCACACAGCCACCTAGTTCTTGTATACTTACGAATGTAAAAATTAGCAAAAAAAGTCAAAATCAACTAGTCTTTGTTTTATCTCCAATAATTGAGGAGTAAGATGCAATAAGGGCACTTCTGTTAAAACTGCTTTCTGAGATATTGGCGTAAAAGTTTTTGATGTGTATAACTTTCTTGTTGATGTAGTATATAAAAAAGTAGTATTGTTGTAGTATTGAAAAAAATTTTCTACTGCGGAAAAATCGTCAGATTACCAGTATTTGACCCTAATTTAACTGTTATAAACGCTCTCGATCGAAAAACGTGTTACCTATGTTATGTGAGTTAAGCTTTTTTTGAAATGTTCAGTAGCCCAAATTATGCAAAAAAAAACTTCTTTTAAAAATATAATTTTCATTTCGTAAAATAGTGTTTTTATACGAGTAGTATTTAGTTCCTTCAAACGATGTTTTTCAATGTGCATACAACAAGAAAACTTTGTACAAAATTCTTTAGGCGCCGAACGCCGCCGCCGCGCAGATATTTTCGTAACTCGGCGGCGGCGCATGAGAAATGACAAAAAACGGCGGCGGCGGCGGCGTGGCCCGGCGGCGGCGGCGGCGTGGCCCGGCGGCGTATACCTCTTGGCGGGACCCAAACCCAGCGCCCAAACGGGTGTTTGGTCGGTACCCAGAGGATTCATGGATATAAATATCCGGACATAGTGAGCTGCGAATTGAACCGTAAGCACACGAATCACTTCTGGCCACTCCCAGGTTTATGGCAGTCAAAAGCTTTGCAGTACTGGGGAATGTACAAAACATAGTGGTCAAAGGCGAATATCTCAACTAAACCCTGATGTATTTTTTTAATTCATAGCTCTACATACCTGTATAGAAAACCAAATAACCGGACCAGACGTTATTCAAAATAAAAAATCTAAAAAAATAAACTTTTCCGTATACTTTGTAATAACAATTTATAATCGTTGCTTTGCAGTGAAATATCTTCTCTTAAATTATATAGATATGTATGTATAAATATGAGTGTTGCGTTTATTTAATCGCGACAGCTCGGAGGAACTCAAAACAATTTTTAACAGCGGTTGATATTGGGTTAAGCGTATACTTGTTCGCTTTAAAACTTTTGCTTTATTTGTCCTCTTGAGAAAAACTGTGTCTATTTAACAATTTGACTTTCATTTACACCCAAGTGCAATTATGTACAAAAATATGCCTATGGTCTGACTTTACCGCTTAATTTGTATATATGTACGGAAACATCATTAACTTGTTTTTACTTTACTTTAAAATTCTTAGGTAAAGCTATACAGATTTACGTACATACATATGTACATAACAAAATACTTGTATACATAAAACCTAAGAGAAAGCATTGTAAGGGATTAGCTAAGAGTGTAAGATCTTCACTGATCGGCTGAACTTAATGTCGGTGACATTCCCGCGCCCGTAAACAAGTTGGATTCCGCGAGTTTACTGTGCAAAACACCGACATCTAAAACTGTGATTTTTGTTGCAGGTCTATGAAATAGAGTTGTCAAACTATCGATGGCACTATCGATAGTATCGATAGTGTCAATTTTTTAGACTATCAATACTCATTGATAGTTTTTTCTTATACTATCAAAAATATCGATAGTTTAGTAGGACTATCGATCATCTCTCCCAATTTTTTTGAAATTATACATACATATGTTAATCGTAAATCCTGTTTTGTTTGTATAACTTGTGTTTGTTTTTGAACTTTCTAAAAAGAGAAGTATTTTGGCTAAGCAGTTACTTAATTTTGAATGATTATAACTTTTATAAGATAATATTTATTTCACTATGATCCTGTAAAAACAAAGCAACCTAACTGATTTGGTTTTGTTTTTTTTCGAGACTATCGTGAATATTGATAGTTTTTCTGAAAACTATCAAAACTATCGATGGTGTGACTATCGATAGTTTGACACCTCTACTATGACGAACTCCACACTTTGTTTTAACTTGGGCGCTCCGGATTTATCTGTACCGGCGGTGGTTTTTCAAACTATTTGCAGCGTCGTTAAATGATAGGAACATATTCTCGTATCCATCTCTGTCAAAAGATGTCAGCGAACTTCTGCGTCTGAGTCCAGCGTTCACGTAGGTTGCTACCGTCTTGACAAAGAGGTTTGAATCCACCTGATGACCCAATCAGTAGGTGGTTTGGTGTGAGGGCTTCGTCATCGCCATTTTCAAGTGATACAAATGTTAGTGGTCTGGAATAATG